TCTTGTAAACCGTACACTATTACTTCACCAAACATGGCATATCAATCGGTATAGTGGTTAACTTGTGCCTTTTGATAGTTTGGGATTTTAAAAACAAATATTTTTCGAGTTCCAATAGTGACGACTTTGACTTTGACTGAAAATGGAAGTAGTGCTCGTTTCCGAAGTAGATCTTGAAAACTGTACCATATTTTTTCACCAAACTTGGCACATTGATAGGTCTAGTGGTAAACTGGTATCTCTTGATAGTTTGGTTTATTTAAAAAGAATAGTTTTCCAGGTTCCATAGCAACAAGTTTAAGTAAGACTGAAAAGCGGTAGTGCTCGTTTCCGGAACAGATCTTGAAAACCGTAAATATTTCTTCACCAAACTTGACACATAGATAGGTCTAGTGGTGAACTGGTGCCTTTTGACAGTTTAGGATTTCTCAGAATGTTTCCATGCAAGAAACTGGACTTGGGCTCATATACTGTACGTGTAGCATTCGTTTCCGGAGCATGATTCAGAAACCGTTTACACATTCTGCAAAAAGATCTATGCAGGGTTGTCTGAGAACCATTACCAAAATTACCTAATTGAGATGTACATTTAAAGCCCAGCAGGGTCAAGTGAACATGTATACAATTCTTAGAAGCATCAAATCAAGGAAAGGCCTAAAACTTGTAGGTATTGATGAACACAAAAATTGTAGTAAAAAGAATGACTAGAATGTGGAATGAAAGACTGTTCACCTGAACACACCCTGTTAAGAGCAGTCATGGTGATGGACTCACGTGAATGTTCACTCTCTCAATGCTCATTTTGAGGATGTGAAGAATGATAAGTTTGTCGGTGTGGTTCATGTTTTGTGTTTCACAGAAACTCACATCAATGATTAACGTGAAAGAGACCTTCGAGGATATTAAGTCTATACAGGGGACACTACACGTGGTATTGCTGTGTATGTTTTTCAAGAACAGCTATGTGATGTAACGTCATTTCGCAGTATTGAATACATTTCCGTTCTTGCTAGCAAGTCTGCATTGCTTGTGTGTATGTTCCTCCAAAGATGTCGTCACATTTACTTACTCATTCCATGAACTTAAGGATCTCTTCGAGCAGCATGAATGTGAATATGTCCTAGTTACTGGGGATTTCAACTCTCAACTCACGGTCTTGGAGCTACACTTGACTTGTTGTTTACTGATCATGCCGGTGATGTGGCATTTAAGACACCAGTCTACTACTACAAGATCAACAAGTTTCAAGAACAGTGTCCAGCAATGTGATGCAATGTCATATCGCAGTATTGAATACATTTACTTTCTTGTTGGCAAGTTCTGCATTGCATGTGTGTATGTTCCTCCAAAATTGTCATGGGCACGGTTATCGCATTCACTTTCTCATTTCATGCAGAAACTGCAGAATCTCTCCAAGCAGCATGAATGAGAACATGTCTTAGTTACAGGGGATTTCAGCTGTGATCCGAGTGAAAAACTGAAAGTTGAAGATGTTTAAAGAATGTGCGGAAAATGACTAAACTCATTCACTCTCCAACTAACTGTCTTGGAGCTACACTGGACTTGTTGTTTACTGATCATGCCAGTGCTGTAGCATTCCAGACTCCAGTCTGCTACTCAGATCACCAGATGATTGATGCTGTACTTCTCAGTACACCTCATGGTGACCCCTGCTCGCATTGATCTCTAAGTAAAGTAAGAACTCCCTTACTTCTCTGATTATTGTTTAAGTAATAACACAACTCATCACAACTACAGTTACGTATGCTATCATAAACTGCAGATGGCAAGAAACACCACTTATAATTGTTTAAGTGCTTGCGACTAGGGCACTTAGATTAGGTGATTCAAATTGATTGTTCGAAAATAAAAAGAAAGCATCAAAGATTTAACGTCAGAAATGTCCTTAATCGCCACAGCGATCCACTTAACTATGACGCTGATAACTTACAATGTATTTCTATCCGAGTTCATGCTGAAGAAGTGTGAAACAACATACCTATTCAAAAATTTGATAAGGTTTCGACAGGCTATAGTAATGACCATGACCTTATTGATAACTCAGGGGCAGCTAGTGTAAGTTCATACTCTAGTCGAGTGCGGTTTCCCTTTGTATTCGACCGGCGAAACCGTGCTCAAGGTTATAGTTTTCAAAATGCGCAGTGTTTACCTGTTATATTTTCTGGATCGCATTTATGGCAAGTCTTGAATTTCGCATTAAAATTATATATCAATCTGAATATGACATTGTTACAAAGGGCAAAACCATAAGCGTTTCCAGTCAGTTTTTCAGATCTTAAATGGTGTGGGACGAGAGGTTTTAACAAGTGACTTTGATTTAACAAGGAAATACATATGATTAAATATGAGTATAGTATATTCGTATTAAGAGTATATTTAATGTTTTTCTAGCAAAAGTAATTGTATCTTGTTTTGTTTTAGAAACAACACCTAGGTTATCTATATTATTGAAATACAAATATTTGGTAACAAGTGATTGGATATTGCCTGTTGAATAATTATTTAAAAACTATTTTTTAAGGGGCATAGATGTATTTCATTAAATATCGCAATTTATTAGTATTTTGACGGCAAAAGTTAGGCACATATTTATATATATATATTTTAAACATTGTCCAAATTCACATTCAAATACATTTTCGCAGAAAATGTTTATGAAAAGAAATTTACTGATCAATATGAAAATAGACATTTTCACCACAATAATCTTAGATACTTGACAACATGCAGCTTATAAAATCATTGTAAAGGATAGGGTCACCAGACAAATACTTTTAAATGACCTTCAGCAATGCGTTCGGGAATAGATTTCACACATTTACAATGTAAATAGTTCACTCCTTAGCCAGATATAAATCAAATCAGACAAATCAGTTTATTAGCTCTACTTAATTCAAAAGGATAAAAACGGATTACATTATATGTATGTTCACGTTAACTTGTGGCGTGTCCCATGAGACACCTTGACAGTTCCTAAATTATCTCCCTTTGTGAACGAAAATTAGTGTCACTTTCAAATTTTGAAAAGAATTATGGATCTTGACAGAGAGAAAAATAAGATTATTTATTGAAAGCATTTGAGATAAAATTCATTGTTACTGGCAATTGAAAGCAACTTAAAGGGGGATAACTCTAAAACGTTTGGATAAGTTATTCAGGTCATTGGCACGAGTTGTCCTTTTTTGTCTAACTTTTAAAGCGAGCCACACGACAGAAAGATAAAAAAAATTAATGAGATCATCTAAATACAAATAGCTTGATGTTTGTATTTGAGTCCATGGTTTATTCTTGAAATATATTGGATATATAAATAACAAACAAACCAAAGCTCACATTGTCGTAACTCGCTCGTGGGTGCGCTGCTTCCTGGACAATTTTTGTTATTTGAATGTTTCCAGGTATAACGTTGGTGTTTTCCCTATAACCTGACATTTTGACATTAACATAAAAAAACAAGCAGTATTGTCAAACTGATCCAGTATACATGACGTCACATCAGACTATAACACGCATCTTAAATGCTGAACGCCTGCTGTCCGATCAAAGGTCTCGTCATTGGCATTTAGAATAACGTTCCTTACTTTCTTCCGTGACTTTGTGTTACATGAAATTCTGCGCGCTCGCGACCATTTGAAGGGGAAATAGTGAAGTATATCTCTCTTTGCATTCTAATATCTATAGTGTAATAACACTTCACTTATTGATTATAACATTTATTTGGTTTAAAAAATGTCTTTGCGTGGCACACGAATGGTATTTGTATTCGGGTAGTCATGGTATTATTTATCATAAGAACAAAACGTCTCCTGTACATGTACGACGTATGTAGGTTTGTACGGAATGTTACTCAAATAGTTGCTGTTAAACAGTGCGAACGACAACGTGATCAGGAATTCCGTGTCACTTCTCCATGTGGACCCGTAAAGATCCGGGGTAGAATAGGTCTTCAGCAACCCATACTTGCCGTAAAAGGCGACTATGCTTGTCGTAAGAGGCGACTAACGGAATCGGGTGGTTTGACTTGTTTGATGAATGTCATCGATCTCAATTGCGTGGATCGATGCTCATGATATTCATCACTGGATTATCTGGTCAAGACTCGATTATTTACACAGACCGCCGTCATAAAGCTGGAATATTGCTATACTGGAATACTGAGTGCGGCGTTAAACAAGAGTCCAACCACTTCTCCATGTTGTTGTTATTGTCAGCTGCTGGGAAACACCCCTCTTGTTCAATCTCCAACGTAAATGAGTTCTCTGCCAGAGTATCGATAGGTATCGTAACCTTGTACGATCCGTGGCATATTTATGATAGTTTCGAAAATGTATCTTATCTTAAACTTAAAATATTTTATCTTTAAACGTAAGTTGTTAAGATTAATTGTAGCTAAGATCGTTTCGAAAATCTAGACCCAGTATCACAAACTTTTTAAGCACGTCAAAATACCCTATGATGTAATTTGTATCATCTCTACTCGCAATGTCATTGATTAAGGGGGCGGTCGGGTAGCCTGGTGGTTAAAGCGTTCGCTAGTCACGCTGAAGACCCGGGTTCGATCCCGACATGGATACAATGTGTGAGGCCCATTTCTGGTGTCCCCCGCCGTGATATTGCTGGAATATTGCTAAAAGCGGCGTAAAACCATACTCACTCACTCATTGATTAAGGCAAGCGATGTTGAAAGTGTTTGTTTACTAAATATGGGCTGCGGTGGCGCTTTTAATAGCAAGCGCTAGTTTATTAAGTTCGCGAAAAGTCGTTCCGACAGGACCTGTAATGGAATGTTATCAGATATAAATGTAGATTGAGCGAACACGAAAATCCGTTTATGATGAGATTGAATCAACTATCACTTTTGGAAAATCTCTTCCGTTCAAATGTTTATCCCATTGAAGCATCATTCGACAGTATCAGTCGTACAGCAAGCATCTATTGTTTGGAAGACCCCGTCTTAACCGTTTAACGTTTGCATGCAGCCACTGGCCCTGACACGGAAGACCCAAGTGTACTGCTTTCAGAAGATGAAAGCGAAAACGAATGTGACAATGGACTATTTGGTGTCCTAATTAAAAGAAGACAGAGAGGTCAGACAAAGTCACTGGAACGTGTAGAGCTTATACAAGGTGAGTGTCGATATGTGTCTTACGAAATCTTCAGTTTGAAAGACTTCCTTTTATCAATATTTAGGACTAATTAATTAAGCAACGCAATGCAAATGGCGATGCAACGCTGTGTTTTTGAAACCATTTCTAGCTTTCACGTCCTGTGGATAGCCTATCGTATACATATTCGTTTTAGCCCTGGGGCATATTTTGGTCATGTCAAAGGTCGAGGTCATCCTCCAGGTCATAGTCGGAAGGAAAGGTTCTTTAAATGGTATCTTGTGATATATTTATTGTGTGTCAATCAAACTTGGTACATGGAAGTAGATGCTGCAAACGCCTTTCCATATTCATTAAACATGTTTGTCAAAAGCAGAGTCGACTGTAGGTCTTCCTTCGCGAGTGGATTGCAGTCTAGTTCTACCTCTTTGTGAACTGCACCAATCCTCTTCCTATGAGATGTCTGTAAGAGAAATAAAAACGGAGAGTGATTATCATTTTCATTTTAACGTAGCTATTAGCAAAAAAAAATTCTGTATCAAAGCTGCACTGCATTTGACATTTGTTTGCCCAAAACTGAAGTAAATTCCTTCAACCGGAAATGTTTATAACTTTGGTAAGTCAGATGTTCACCATCAAACATATGGTACAAGTCAATACAGGGAAATGCATCATTTTTGTCATTTATGACATTTATCAAATTTGGAAATGTCTTCTACATGTCCACCATAAAGTATTTTGAAAACTTTACAGAGGCCTTTACTACTGATGTATTGGCATGTAATACAATCCTGTGTCTAGTTTAACATAATATACCCACTTATATTACAGAGGGGACAACTGCAACAACAGAATTATATAACAGAAAGAAGGCCCTAGCTGCGACGAACAGACACCAAACATCAATAGGTACTGTAATGTTTATTTCCACATACGTCCACAACTTGACTATTTCAAACCAAGTAGTTATTTTACTCAATCAATAATACGTCCACGGAGTAAAGTTAGGAAAAATTATCAATTCTGAAAATTAGATAAATAGAGACGCATTTATTACATCTACAGGGTTTCAGGTCGATTCAGGTAACTGATTATGTTAAATGATCTACTCGAAAGATTATATGAAAATATGGTATTGATATGCAAGAATGAAACACATGACACTACCCTAAAGGTTCCTAAAGGTTGTCTTTTGGATTGAACACTCAATGTAACTGATCAGTTGACTGGATGCGTTTTAGGTGCTACGATGTCATAAAAGCTTCAGCACTACACATAGCTACATTATTATTATTTACCGATTTAAAATAAAAAATGCATCAATTAGGATTTGGGTGATCCTGGCACAGTCAGGCTGGCTAGGCTCATCATCAGCTTAGGGCTCTTGCCCCCCTCTACACGCAGCCCAGACAACGAATTGGATTTCTCCCAGGAAGCACTGCCTAGTCAAACCCACCCTGAACTTTTTGGAGAATGTGACAACTCCTCAACACTGCAGCCTTCTGCGTTATCCAGATTGTCAGAAGGGCTATATTCCTGGTAGAAAATCCGGGTACACTCCCAATGTCAGTCAACAGATTGGAAGGTACCAAACCTAATGCACCGAGAACAATGGGGAGTAGGACAACTTGGTACTTGGAATGCAAGCGTGACATTTCAAAAGCGAGGTCCGCATATTTGCCATGTTTTTCCTGAATCTTGTCAATCACATTCGTGTCCAAAGGGACAGAAAATTCAATGATATAAATGATTTCATTGGATTTATCAAAAAGGACAAGATCAGGTTTGTTGGCCTGGATACTCCTGAAGCTGTAAACGGGCCTATTCCAAAAGAATTTGTATTTATCATATTCCATGACACCCTCTACATATTCTGGGTCGTACCATTGATGGACCTCTGAGTCTAAACCACGAGCATGGCGAGAACGGTAATAAAAGGATCCAGCTACACCATCATATCTCTTAAGATACTGTTTGTGCCAAAGCTGGGCATCCACTGACAATGTGTTGGAGAGTTCATATTTTAAACGAGTTCTGATGGTCGATCCATGATGCCCTTTGTGGAAGTGACCATTTTCCAACATTACTTACAACTATCAATCTTTCTGACGAACCACCTTCAACAAGGCCAGTTGGTATTTATTCCAAACATTATGTACAGAAAACTGACACCTGACAGTGTCAGGCATGTTGGAGAAGAACTCTTTCATAAGTCCTCTGCAAACCCTCATATACTTAAACCATGGTTTGATAATGATTTTTAAACAAGCTAGGAAAAATAAGAAGAAAGGTGAGAAATATTTTCGCCGATACCCCACTGTCAACAACCTGATTAATGTTAAAATCACGAGCGTCAAAGTGAGATGTACCTTTAAACAAATTATAAGTCATTCCTTGAGAAACTGTGTCTAAACTCAATTCCTGCACTCCCATGTCCTAGGTGTGGAACATGAGTGAGAAGATTAAAGGCAAAGGATCAAAGTCTGGAGTTCACCATCTAAAGGAGGGTAATACACTGTTAACAACTAAATCTGACATTGCCAACAAACTTTGGCAAACAATTCCTCATCACTCAACTATAAACCCTCAATTTCAGAGGTTTCAAAAACAACATGAAAAAAAATATGTCAATTTTAACTCTTATAATGGTGAGGACTACAACGAAACATTTGCACTCCATGAATTGCATACTGCCGTATGGCAAGCTCATGACACTGCAGCAGAAGCCGACAACATTCATTATCAGCTCCTGAAACACGTGCCTGATTCAAGTTTGGAAATGCTGCTAAATATATTTGATGACATTTGGACAGCTGGAAATTTCCCTCCTTCGTGGCACAACGTTATTGTCATTTTATACCAAAGTCTGGACGGTATCATACAGATCCAATTACAGTCCAAAATCATTAACTAGCTGTATTTATAAGTTCATGGAGCGCTTGGTCAACAGTTTATTAGTCTGGTACTTGGAGACCAATAACCTCCTGAGTGACATCAAGTGTGGTTTCCAAAAAAATACAAGTGCCATTCACCATTTGGTGCGTTTAGAATAATTTATTACGTATTCTATTGTCAACAACATACAACACTGGCAGACGGTGAAGCAAGATGCAGACCTCACACTAACCCAGCTCAAAAAATCTTAAATAAATCATTTTGTTTATCAACAAGCATAATTCTCACAGAATCATTTTTACAGATCGGTCCAAGGATGGTGGTAAAGTTGCAAGTGCCACCATCATTGGATCCAGAACTATCCCAAGAGCTTTGACCTATATTCATCATCTTCTCTCATTCATTGTCATACCTTCAGGCACTTAGAAGTGTCTCCTCAAATCATCCCATGATCCTTGGCATTTTAGAACGTTTCAATAATCTTTCTACTGGCAAGTTTGACATTGTCTTTTGCTGGTTACCAAGTCATGTAGGCATAGCTGGTAACTCAAAAGCAGCTCTGGACAAAAAACAGCTATACTCGGGATCTAATGCAAAAAAGGTGGGACACCCAGGTAGGAATCAATGAACTTCATGGATTTAAACCAACAATCGGTCATACCTAGTTTGGTTGTCAGTCAAGACATGATGAGGTCGTTTAACGAAGTTGTCTATTGGCCATGGTCGGTTTACCCACGAATAAACATACGACTACGAACCTCCTGAGTGGATCCCTTGTGACGAAAGGTTCACCGTTAAGCATAAATTGCTTGACTGTGTATACTTTGCAATTGCAATGGGATTCACATTATCAAACAGTAAATCTGAAAAATCGCTTTTCCTGTGTTAGCGGGCATCTCATTCTCAGCTACTTGAAAGAAATTGGTCTGTAAATACATTTAAGTATGTATGTGAGTAATGAATTGCTTGTTTTTAAACTCGGTGTGATGATTTTACCAACTGACATTATTAAAGGCTCTATCCGGGTTTTAAAGTACAATAAAATGATTGTCCCCCTGTGTGCCACGTAATCCTTTCATAATCGATGTAACTATCATCAACCAGTGTTTTAAGCCAACTCATTGCTGAGTATTTTTAGATATTGGCTAGTATTGAGCATAACCACCGATAGCTGAAGTGATGAGGTAAATCCTGCTGGGATATCTTGCAGGAAGCAGAGGCACCGTAAGTCCCCATGATCCCCGGCGAGGTGGCCTAGCTTTGGTTACTGGTGGCCTATAGTCCGTGTTTTAAACTGTATAAATGATATCGTTATGCCCAAATGTGATTGATAAAAGATAAATACATATAATTTTGCACTCATGACTCACTTGTTATTTAATCAACACATTGAACACTTTTGTCAAATATCACCAGAATGTATAAGGTGAACAAATTGCAGGGTAAATATATCGTTGTGTTCTTCCCATAAGTACTTTCCTAAGGTCATAACTACTTAATACTCTTCACAGTAATAAACAACCCACGCCTGTATCTGACAAAGAAGACCGAGTTGAATGCTCTGAAAGCTCGCAATGTGGCAATGGGAGGACAACAGGTGGTTCATCAACCACAAGGCCCCCGCTCTGAAGACCACACAGAGAAAACCAGTAAGTGACATATAAATCAACACTCATTGTAACATGGATGTCCATGAATAATATCTCCTAACGCGTGTGTATATTTCCATTACAGTTTGTTTGGCTCTAAATGAGAACGATGAATTACCAAAAAACTCAAATTCGGGAATAATCTATTAAATGCCAATACGGTACACGGCAATGAATACCCTATACCCAACAATAACTGCTGTTTGTTATTTTCATTCGATTCACTGGAATAGGTTGTTTAAGAAACTATCATGTTGTTATGTGTTCAAATTGACATATTGAACGGAGGGGACACAACGGTAGAAGGAACAGCACAAATACGTGTTTCATTGTATATGTCATTGCTGACTGACAAGATGCCATACTCAGCTATGTGTTTTTTAAGATGTATGGTTCACTTTCCAAGTGAAGCAGGAAGGGAACCCATTTTATGCCATTAATTAATACTTAGAAAAGCTTCTAAAGCTCTTGGCATGTCTCCTCACAAGCTGAAAAATGTTGACTCCAGCAATCCGGTGTGACATTGAAAATGGACCCGCATTGAAAAGTCAGTATTCAACGTAGAAAACATACCCGGTCTCAGTTTTCAACAGACCAGGGTCAGTTTTCAACAGTTGAAAAGTGACCCTGTCAGCTTACCAAGTCGTTAAATAGTGACCCGGGCCTCGCGTTGAAAAGTGACTCCGTTGAATTATGACTGCTTTCCAGAAGACATTGGCAACATACCTAAATTGGTGCAAATATTTATCAGGGTGTTCGGGATGAGTGTTGGAGGTGAAACGTATTTATAGGCATGTATTAACGTAAACATATACAAATTGTCATGGTTCCTGGCTTTAGAAATGATCGTCACGATATGGCTGAAATATTGCCGATGTGACGTAAAGCATTAACTCACTCATTCACTCACTTCAGAAATGTGTGTGCATGTACAGCTGTTTTGAGCGCCCAGTGACTGCCTGTGTGTACGCTTGTACGTCTGTTAAGTTTGTTTGATTGGGTTTTACGTGGCTTTGGGTAGTATTTCAACCATGACGCCACGGTGGTTACAATGGGGCACTTACTGTGTATTTAAACAGTAATGACCACGAATTGTCTTCAGATAACACCCGTTTTTGTGCAGGTGAATCGATCAAATTCATGTGCACAATAGTGGCAAAAGTGTTTTTTCACGTGCAACTGGTCACGTGGCCATAATACCGCACGTGTTTTCAGCCATACCTGTTAGCAGTCATTAAAAAGACAAGAAAACGAAAGTTTTTACGGCCATTTGTCATGCCACGCCTTTCAAATGTGCAACGTGAACGTGCCATCCACATGTTGCAGACGGGAAGGACGATTGGTTGTAGTCGACGGACTGTTTATGATTTACAGACGCGTCTACAGCAAACGGGTACCACCACTGATCGCCCTCGGCCAGGTCGACCACGTGTGACGTCACATGTAGAGGATCGTCAGATTGTCTTACGTCACCTCCGTAACCGATTTTTGACGGCTACATCAACCAGAAATGAACTGTTTAGGGGTAGACTGAGTGCGCAAACTGTTCGAAACCGTCTGAGAACTGCTCACCTTCAAGCACGACGGCCATACTGCGGGCCGATTCTGACTCAATTACATAGACGTCAACGTCAATTGAGGCACAGCGACACTTACGGACTCAGAGGAATTGGTATCAAGTCGTCTTCAGTAACGAATCCCGATTTAATCTTCGATTTGCTGATGGTAGGGCGAGGGTGTAGAGGCGCCGTCATGAACATTACGCCCAGTGTTGTGTACAGGAAGTTGACGGATTTCGAGGCGGAAGTGTCATGGTGTGGGGTGCTTTCTGTGGGAATGCACGTTCCAGGTTTCTTGTCATCCGTGGCAACCTCAACGCTGCTGCTTACCGCGACCGGGTACTGGCACCAGAACTTCTGCCTTTTATGACAGCACATGGACCCTTTTTAATCATCCAACACGATAATGCAAGACCCCACACAGCAATTTGGACAAGGTGTTTCCTTCAGAATGCGTGAGTCAACGTCATGGACTGGCCGTCAAGGTCTCCCGACCTCAATCCCATCGAACACGTCTGGGATGCTCTTGGGAGAAGTCTGCGCACTCTCCAGAAAAAACCACAGAACTTGTAAGATCTTGGCACCACTTTGCAGCAACAATGGCGTCGTCTTCCCAATCATGTGTTCACAAGCATCACAAGGTCCATGCGGAGGCGTTGTGTGGCAGTTGTCAACGCACATGGTGGCCATACACACTACTGAACTTGTGTGCCATCAGATTCTCGTGCTTGGGACTTATGATTTAATCTGTTGATGTTATTACCGAATATCGTAGGTGCTTGGAATAAATTACGGTTACCACTGTTAATTAAAATCCTTCTTTGGACATTAATGATTAAAAATTACCTTCTCTGATAAATTTGTCCATTGTATAGTATGTTGACTCAGTATATTTACATACAAACTTCAGCCCCATAATATTTCAAAATATGAAATCCCACTTCACAGTCGAATAAACAATGTTGTGAGAAGTTAGTATCAATAAGATTAGTTAAAAACCTATAACATTAAAAGCACCATTCGCATTCGATGCGTGGGGACGTATTCGGTGGAACTTAATAGAAACCATTAATCTAATGCATGACAAAGGTCTGAAAGGACGGACTGCAAGTGTTACCAGCCAACAAAAGGACGTGCCCACAACGTTGTAAGAACGTTGTCGTAATATTGCTACAACGTATTAAAGCAGCCAATAAGTCGAACGTTACTGGGAGTCTACATAGTAACCAAATAGCCTACGTATGCAACGTTGCCTGGACCCCCTGTGTTAACTGGGTTATCAGCTTCTCTGTTGGAAGGGTGGATCACATCATCATCATCGAATTTGGAATAGCGATTTATGTAAGGCGGCCGAAGCAAATCAGAAATGCATAGTTTTGTATTATTAACCCAAGAAATTTCTGATCACATATGCTACAATGACCACTACCATAATTTGCAACGTGAAACAAAAGTGCAGGCCGAGCGATGGAAGTTACCAGACTCGCCAACAGCTAAATACCAAGTTTGTTTTCAAAGATTAAACTTTTTTACTATTGCTAAAAAGTTCAAACACTTAATAGATCAAACAAAGGTAAAGATCAAAGACACATCTGCATACTATAGACATTTCAAGATAAGAAAGCTGAAAACCTGACCAAAAGGGCAATGTTCTAATGAGTCAGTGAACTGTGTCCGTATCGGAGTGGCAATGAAGGCAACTCTTCGAAAAAACACAAAATCAAAGATATTGAACTCGTTTAAAAAATTGACAATGATGTTACACCCAATTCCTAAAAAAACCTGTTTAAATTGTGAAAAGTGGTGTGCACGATTAAATGAAATAAAAACAAAAACAGCACTATTTCAAAAACTTCAGTTAATTGTAGTAATATCTGTGAATTTTGCCGAATTTCAAAATTACACACTGAATTTTGGAAAAGTGGACGTTATCAAATGCTTTGAACCTAAAACACTTGTTATAAGTAGATGACGAGCATTCTCTATCACATTAAGCGACTCTATACAAAACAATGGAGAATACCCAAATACTGGTACCTGTTTTAGATTGTCTAACAACACCACGCACCAGTACACGCCAGCTGGGTTGTGATTGATGCTTTTCGAGAATGTGGGTTCGAACTGTGACCTACAGATCTAGCCCCCAGTGATTTCCACTTGTCCCCTAAATTGAAAAAGCACCTGCGGGGTTGAAGATTTGAGGACGACAACAATTGACGGCTGGACTTTATATCGGGCATTAGATCTAATGATTTGAAAACCAGATAAAACAAGTGTGAAACTGGAATGGTACTACGTTGAAAAATATTTGTAACTTTAACCAGAATTTCAACTGTAAATTATTGAGGCTCAAAACGTTTTGATATCCGCTCTTAAAAGTACTTTGTTTATCAATTAAATCTTAACAAAAATGAAGATTGAAAGGTATGCAACGTTGCCTGGACCCCCTGTGTTAACTGGGTTATCAGCTTCTCTGTTGGAAGGGTGGATCACATCATCATCATCGAATTTGGAATAGCGATTTATGTAAGGCGGCCGAAGCAAATCAGAAATGCATAGTTTTGTATTATTAACCCAAGAAATTTCTGATCACATATGCTACAATGACCACTACCATAATTTGCAACGTGAAACAAAAGTGCAGGCCGAGCGATGGAAGTTACCAGACTCGCCAACAGCTAAATACCAAGTTTGTTTTCAAAGATTAAACTTTTTTACTATTGCTAAAAAGTTCAAACACTTAATAGATCAAACAAAGGTAAAGATCAAAGACACATCTGCATACTATAGACATTTCAAGATAAGAAAGCTGAAAACCTGACCAAAAGGGCAATGTTCTAATGAGTCAGTGAACTGTGTCCGTATCGGAGTGGCAATGAAGGCAACTCTTCGAAAAAACACAAAATCAAAGATATTGAACTCGTTTAAAAAATTGACAATGATGTTACACCCAATTCCTAAAAAAACCTGTTTAAATTGTGAAAAGTGGTGTGCACGATTAAATGAAATAAAAACAAAAACAGCACTATTTCAAAAACTTCAGTTAATTGTAGTAATATCTGTGAATTTTGCCGAATTTCAAAATTACACACTGAATTTTGGAAAAGTGGACGTTATCAAATGCTTTGAACCTAAAACACTTGTTATAAGTAGATGACGAGCATTCTCTATCACATTAAGCGACTCTATACAAAACAATGGAGAATACCCAAATACTGGTACCTGTTTTAGATTGTCTAACAACACCACGCACCAGTACACGCCAGCTGGGTTGTGATTGATGCTTTTCGAGAATGTGGGTTCGAACTGTGACCTACAGATCTAGCCCCCAGTGATTTCCACTTGTCCCCTAAATTGAAAAAGCACCTGCGGGGTTGAAGATTTGAGGACGACAACAATTGACGGCTGGACTTTATATCGGGCATTAGATCTAATGATTTGAAAACCAGATAAAACAAGTGTGAAACTGGAATGGTACTACGTTGAAAAATATTTGTAACTTTAACCAGAATTTCAACTGTAAATTATTGAGGCTCAAAATGTTTTGATATCCGCTCTTAAAAGTACTTTGTTTATCAATTAAATCTTAACAAAAATGAAGATTGAAAGGTAGCTGGATTTTGGGTTGTATAGATCTATAGTTTTGGCCAGTAAATCTTGAATCTGGATTTTTCCCGTTTTAATAAAGCATGAAGCGCCTCCACCCTTCTCTCTACCGCACTCAAAACGACATACATGTACGTAAAACAACTGATGCCAGCTGACAGATACGTACTCAGAAACACCCGAATAAAGACACTAAAAAGATTTCATCGAGTATAACATTAGATCTTTTATTTAACTAGAAGTCACAATTCAACGGAGTCACCTTTAAACGCGAGGCCCGGGTCACTATTTAACGACTTGGTAAGCTGACAGGGTCACTTTTCAACAGTTGAAAACTGACCCTGGTCTGTTGAAAATTGAGACAGGGTATGTTTCCAACGTTGAATACTGACTCCCGGGTCACTTTTCAACGCGGGTCTATTTTCAATGTCACACCGGCGTAGTGGGTGGGGAACATATCAAAACATGTAGGGTTGTTAAATTAGACAGTTTTCAAATCAGTCGTGAAATTGTTAAACTGCTTTAACAAAATAGGTACTTGTCACTGAGACTCTTTAAGAAATACCGTGACACTAAACATGATATATTCCTTACAAAATAGAAGCTATGGCAATTTTTGCATACATTTGGATACAGATACAAAAGGATCAGTGGTGAAAATAGGGCTGTGTTATGTGAATGATCCTTCATCTCCGAAATCATTATCTTCGACCCATCAAGCCGAAACGCGAAGAAGGATAGGAGCCTGTTTTCCTAGATGAGACATGAGTAATGCCTCTCACACAGCCAGCAGTCAGTGGGGACTGAAAGGAGTCTATGAGAAAGTTACCAATGGGGAAAGGTGACAGATTTATCGTTCTTCATCTTGGCTGTGCTAGTCCTGGTTTTCTCCCAGGATGTGACTTCGTCTTTCGTGCGAAGGACAAGGATAACAGGGGCTACCACACAGAAATGAGCGGCTAGGTATTTCTGGAGTGAGTGAAAAACAAATCGGTCCCTGCTTTGCCTGCCAAGTCCCTTATTATCATGGACAATGCACCATATCACAGTATACAGGATGAAGACACCAAGGCCCCGACGTCTAATAACCTTAAAAGGAGACATTGTGATGTGGCTGCAATATGATCTTTCCTTCCAGGGCTACAAAGCCACAGATTTATGAAATCATCAAATCTGACAAAACTAAGTCCGTGTATAGGGTTCGCAATTACATCAAATGTCAAGGTTAAGCTGTCTTACGACTTCCCCCTTACCTCTGCGACCTGAACTCAAAGGAGTTGATGTGGGATGTAGTCAAATGTGACCTTACCCGACTGAACACAACGTTTAAATTGCGGGATGTTGAAAAGCTAGTACATTAATCCCTTAAGGTAACAGAAGAGACATGGCAGCGTTGCGTTTCCAAAGTCGTCAACGGGATAGAGTCAAGATACTGGCCACGTGATGGACTTCAGCAAGCAACAGTCCCATCAATATTTGTGACCATCAGCAGTGACACAAGCAATTCCGATGACGAGGACGGTGACATGAGCGAGTCAGATTGCGATTTAATTAACGAGAAACGACCTCTCTTATACTGTTATTCCCTGTTCCGTTCTGTACTGCGTACACTAGGTGTTTGCGCTGTTCCTCCATCCGTTTAACCAGACCCGTTAAGATCCGGTGTAGAATAGGTCTTCAGCAACCCATGCTTGCCGTAAAAGGCGACGTTGCTAACGGGTTCGGATGGTCAGGCTCGCTGACTTGGTTGAAGCATGTCATCGATCCCGATTGCATGGATTGATGCTCATGATATCAATTACTGGATTGTCTGGTCCAGACTCGATTATTTACAGACCGCCGTCATATAGCTGGAATATTGCTGACTGCGGCGTAAAACAACATACCAACCAACCGTTTAACCCCTCCCCCCCCTCCGTTGAAGCTGTCACATTTTACACATAACAACATGATAGTTTCTTCAACAACTTTTTCCAGTTATGGGAATAAAAATAACAAACAGCTTATATTGTTGGGTACAGGATAACTCATTGCCGTGTACCGTAGGAACATTTCATAGACTATTTCCGATTTTGAGTTATTTGGCATTTCATCGATGTCATTTGGAGCCAAACGGACTGTAGTGTTTTCTGTCACATTCCTTTGGTTCACACAAAGGATTGTGATGTAATGGTTGTTAGCCACTGCACTCAATTCATAGAAACCATGTGGTGTTCATGGATGACTCGGTCGTCTAAGTCGCTGCAATTTGCTGTGGTTTTCATCTTCAATACGTTGCCTGAACCTAAGGTCGTAGATTCGAACCCCAGGTGCGCACTGATTATTATTCCTCGTCTCTCACCGCCATAGCCATGCCCAGACCGGCATCACTTCTGATTTTCTTCCTACATTAAGTAATCACATCGCGATATGATTTAAATACTGTTGAAATATGCCTCAAATCCAATTCACTCACGCATGAATATGTAAATAGGACTCCTGTCATTATCTACCCAAGAATGATCATCTCTACCTCAGTTTGTTTAAAGGATGAATCGGAATGTAACATATTTTCACATTGTCATCAGAAGTCTGACACCAGTCGTCACTCAAATGTATTCAGACATGATCATCGCCTTACAAGCTAACATGACATCCCTAAATTCGCTGTGGTCTGTTATTGAAGGTTTTCACAAAACTGGTGCTCAAGGCAAATGTCTGACACATACAGCTATGCTGTAAAACCTATTGAAAACATCATTTATCCAACATAATCTTAAGTTCCGGAAGATTTACATGATAGAAACCCTCCAAAGTAGTTGAATGTTCAATTGGTTTTGGTTTGTTTTTTCTACAGAAACCCCGAGAGACCCGAGAGTACATCACATGAGAGGTAGACAACGTTACATAACCATGTCTCACTGATTGCCATGGCTGTACTCAGACATACAATACATAGGAATTCTGGAATGACCACTATAACCTGCTGATGATGAGCAAAGGATAAAAGTGTAATATATTAAAGGCATTGCATGTCAATTTCTGTCAGTATGAGTACTTAATTTATCTATTTTATGTGGACGTCATATATTTACTTGAACTGAGTCGACGTTTCTGCTGGTAGACCAATCCCCGAGTTCCATCATAAACTCAGTAGCATTTGTCTATGCTGAGTCATCTCCAGTAGAAAAGTTTGTGCTGAGACTTTAAATCTGCCCTCTAATGTGTTGCAAACCGAAGATTTCTTAAACGTTTTTCCTTACTTGTAACAAGCTGACTACCTGCATTTGAACATAACAAACGTAATATAAAGTTAACATATCATGTCAGTGAGGTACATGCATTTTGACAAGCTGATTCGTTACTGTAAGCTGCCATCCACCATCTGAGTGTTTAGATAACCAGGTCCTTTCTTGTTCAGCAGTCAATTTGCAATTATAAAATGACTCAGGGAACTGAGAAATATTCTACTTATGCAGTCTTGTCTTGAAACAATTTTAGTTGTCCAGATCAAAAACGATATTACAAAAAGAAGGAGGCAGTTGGGACAGAATAAAAGTATCAATGTGTCCAGATTGCTATATCGATAGTTATTCCATTTAACGGTTGTCAACTGTACATACTGATATTGGTCCAAATTATCTTTTAAATAGAACGGACAAAAAAAGAGATCAAGAGATGGACAGAGGCTTTAAGAGTTTAAGATTTCATTTGTTGACGACATTGTGAAGAAGATTGAATCAGGACAGCACTGGATCACAATCACTGGTAATGCTGGTGATGGGAAGACAACGACAGCCTACATGGTGTTGGATGAGATGACGAAGCAAGGCAGGGAGGTGTTTCACGTGAAGGAGCCTGATCAGTATTACATCCTGACAGAAAATACCAACCAAAGAGTCAAATTTGTTGTCATGTTGAATGATGTCATAGGTGCCTTTGCCTTGGACAAACTAGCTTTCATCAAATGGAAACCTGTCATCTTTGACGCCCTTGAAAATATCAGACAAACTAACAAGTCTGAATTCGCAAGCACTCTGACCATTATTTTTGTCCACAGGGCTTACGTCCTTAATGAAGCATGTGGCAGTTTTGACAAACATACACCTGATATTGTAGGCAAGGAAGCTCTAACATCTCTTGCTTCACTTCCTGAAACAGAGCGCATGGAAATTCTCCAGTATCACCTGACACTTGCAGGTATTGTTGACATACCAGAGAGCAGTAAGAAACAGGTAGTTCGTACTAAGACACCACATGGATTTCCACATTGTTGTCAAATGTTTACAGAATTAAAAGCTAAAGAAAAACAAGTGGACATTGAACAATTCTTTTCCTGTCCTCTTGAGTGTCTTGATAACGTAACCAAAACACATCTGGACAATGAGGAAACAAAGGAAGTGTTTAAGATGCTGATGAAAAAGGATGGAAAGCTTGACCTGAATGAAATAGACGATGACGAAGAAAGGAACCGTCTAGAGTCAGTGTCATCACCTTTGTTTGGAAGCTACCTGTCAGACAACAATGGCATGATAACGTTCTCGCATTCCTCAATCTATGAAAGTGTAGCACATTGCATCGGACAATTAGACGTAGTATTTGCAATCAAACATTTCAGCTTCTCTTACATAATGCAGAGCATGAAATTTATGGAGACCCAATGCATTTCGCGGAATGTCATCAGTGTTGCTCCAAGCAGGATGAATATTACAACACTTTGTAAAAGATTTACCCAGCCTGTGGCCTACAGATGGTTTTCTGTCCTTGAACACAATTTCTTTCAAAAGGAAGATTTTTGTAGGATTTTCTTTTCATCTTTGATCAGGACCAATAATCTGAACTTGGAGGTAAGTAAGAAACAATGTCATGAAATATAGAAATAACATCTTGGAAAAGACAATGTGTTATGTAAAGGCTTCACATGACCCTTTGTGTCCATTGCGTTCAAATGCATACTGCTTGAACAGAGTCCCTATCAAAACCCAAACTCACTCACTCCCAAATACCTTTCACACTTTCCTCATCTTGCAAGAAAAACAATATGTGGAATAATTAATGTTGTAAAGAAAACACACTTGTCTTTCACGATCTAGATGCTGTATTTAATTAACTTGATTAAAACATCTAACTGATATTCACATATTTTGACAGCTGACTTTCATGAGCATGGTTGCAGTCATTAGATGTAATTATCAGAAATGATTCAGGCTAAGGACAAAGTTTGGGTTTGTTTGTGACACCATGCAATAGCATGTACAATACATGAATGCAGCATGCCGATTCTCAAACTGATACAATAATTCAACCCAGAAATTTGTACGCTAATGAAGTCAGTGTGAAATAAACAATCAACAAAGAAATGGCATAATCGGTATCTTTAACAATTTCATTGTGATATCAACTAGGTTAACAAATCAATACAAATTACTGCACAGCAGATACAATGGCAGTACAAAATTTTATGGTACTATAAGCCTAGGCTGGATATCGAGGTTGAAAACAATTATCTTCACATAAAAGCTTTATGTGACATAAAATGTGAGATGAGAGAGGTACGCACTTGTCCCCTAATATAATCTTACAACCTTCGACAACATTCTATAACATCCTTGATTAGTCTAACGGTACTAGAACATGACAGAAGATAACACATTACACTTGACAACAAAAGCATCTAAATATGGCCACTGCTTACATTAAATAGTACTACATTCCTGACAACTAATGTTCTCAAAACACAATAATATGACCTTCTACTGAATCTCAGCAGAAACAATGCAATACAATTGCAATACTTTTTAACCCTAAATTTCACTGCCATATAACAAAATGTCTAAGAATTCTTGTTACGATTTTTTTTTTCTCAGAATGGTAAACTGGTGGCACTTGACAACGAAGACAACAATGGAGACACCATGTTGCATGTTGTGTCAAGATGTAAAAAGACGACAGCTATACAAGTTCTTCTGGAGTATGGCGCAGATGTCAACAAGCGTAATAGGCGGGGGAAAACTGCTTTCCATAATTTCTGTGAAGGCGAAGGTGTCGATGCAAGTGCTCTAAATCTGATGCTCAAACATGGCGCGGATGTCAACAAGGTGAGCGGGGATGGCGGAACAGCTCTCCACTGTCTCTGTACTGCGAGTACTGTCGATGTTGCAACTGTGGAACTGATGATCAAGAACAATATTGATCTGAATTGGGCTGACGGGATGGGATATACAGCTCTTCACTATTTGTGTGCACGTAAGGATGCAGATACATCTGTCTTTGACCTGATGATTAAACATGGCGCTGATGTCAACATAGTGGGTGTGGATGGCAAGTCAGCACTTCATGTCTTGTGTGGAGAAGGAGATGTTAACTTCAGTAATGTGGCCCTACTGATCAAACATGATGCTGATGTCAACAAGGCTGACGAGGATGGCGTGACGTCACTTTCCTGTCTGTGTGCTAGAGATGATGTCAATGAAAGCACTGTCAAACTGTTGTTACAAAACGGTGCTGATGTCAACAAGGCTGAGGTGGAGGGCGTGACAGCACTTCACTATCTGTGTGCTAGGGATAATGTCAATGAAAGCGCTATCAAACTGTTGTTACAAAACGGTGCTGATGTCAACAAGGCTGACGAGGAGGGCTTTACAGCACTTCACCGTCTGTGTGCTAGGGATAATGTCAATGAAAGCGCTATCAAATTGTTGTTACAAAACGGAGCTGATGTCAACAAGGCTGAGGTGGAGGGCGTGACAGCACTTCACCGTCTGTGTGTTAGGGAAAATGTCAATGAAAGAGCTATCAAACTGTTGTTACAAAATGGAGCTGATGTCAACAAGGCTGACGAGGAGGGCGAGACAGCACTTCACTATCTGTGTTTTAGGGATAATGTCAATGAAAGCGCTGTCAAACTGTTGTTACAAAACGGAGCTGATGTCAACAAGGCTGACGAGGAGGGCAAGACAGCACTTCACCGTCTGTGTGTTAGGGATAATGTCAATGAAAGCGCTGTCAAACTGTTGTTACAAAACGGTGCTGATGTCAACAAGCCTGAGGTGGAGGGGGTGACAGCACTTCACTGTCTGTGTGCTAGGGATAATGTCTATGAAAGCTCTATCAAACTGTTGCTACAAAACGGTGCTGATGTCAACAAAGCTGAGGTGGAGGGCGTGACAGCACTTCACTGCCTGTGTGCTAGTGATGATGTCAATGAAAGCGCTATCAAACTGTTGTTACAAAACGGTGCTGATGTCAACAAGGCTGACGAGGAGGGCAAGACAGCACTTCACCGTTTGTGTGCTAGGGATTATGTCAATGAAAGCGCTATCAAACTGTTGTTACAAAACGGTGCTGATGTCAACAGGGCTGAGGTGGGGGGCGTGACAGCACTTCACTATCTGTGTGCTAGGGATAATGTCAATGAAAGCGCTATGAAATTGTTGTTACAAAACGGTGCTTATGTCAACAAGGCTGCGGTGGATGGCGTGACAGCACTTCACTGTCTGTGTGTTAGGGATAATGTCAATGAGAGCGCTATCAAACTGTTGTTACAAAACGGAGCGGATGTCAACAAGGCTAGCGTGAAGAAGGGCTTAACAGCACTTCACCGTCGGTGTGTTAGGGATAATGTCAATGAAAGCGCTATCAAACTGTTGTTACAAAACGTAGCTGATGTCAACAAGGCTGGCGTGGAGGACATGACAGCACTTCACTATCTGTGTGATGGAGATGATGTCAATGAAAGCGCTATCAAACTGTTGTTACAAAACGGAGCTGATGTCAACAAGGCTAGCGAGAAGAAGGGCTTTACAGCACTTCACTGTCTGTGTGTTAGGGATAATGTCAATGAAAGCGCTATCAAACTGTTGTTACAAAACGGAGCTGATGTCAACAAGGCAGGCGTGGAGGGCAAAACAGCACTTCACCGTCTCTGTGTTAGGAGTAATGTCAATGAAAGCGCTATCAAACTGTTGTTACAAAACGGTGCTGATGTCAACAAGGCTGAGGTGGAGGGCGTGACAGCACTTCACTATCTGTGTGCTAGGGATAATGTCAATGAAAGCGCTATCAAACTGTTGTTACAAAACGGAGCTGATGTCAACAAGGCTGACGAGGAGGGCAAGACAACACTTCACCGTCTGTGTGCTAGTGATGATGTCAATGAAAGCGCTATCAAACTGTTGTTACAAAACGGAGCTGATGTCAACAAGGCTGACGAGAAGGGCTTTACAGCACTTCACTATCTGTGTGCTAGGGATAATGTCAATGAAAGCGCTATCAAACTGTTGTTACAAAACGGTGCTGATGTCAACAAGGCTGAGGTGGAGGGCGTGACAGCACTTCACTGTCTGTGTGCTAGTGATGATGTCAATGAAAGTGCTGTCAAACTGTTGTTACAAAACGGAGCTGATGTCAACAAGGCTGACGAGGAGGGCAAGACAGCACTTTAACGTCTGTGTGCTAGGGATAATGTCATTGAAAGCGCTGTCAAACTGTTGTTACAAAACGGTGCTGATGTCAATAGGGCTGAGGTGGGGGGCGTGACAGCACTTCACTATCTGTGTGCTAGGGAAATGTCAAGGAAAGCGCTATCAAACTGTTGTTACAAAACGGTGCTGATGTCAACAAGGCTGAGGTGGAGGGCGTGACAGCGTTTCTCTGTCTGTGTGTTAGGGAAAATGTCAATGAAAGCGCTATCAAACTGTTGTTACAAAACGGAGCTGATGTCAACAAGGCTGACGAGGAGGGCAAGACAGCACTTCACCGTCTGTGTGTTGGAGATAATGTCAATGAAAGCGCTATCAAACTGTTGTTACAAAACGGAGCTGATGTCAACATGCCTAGCGTGAAGAAGGGCTTTACAGCACTTCACTGTATGTGTGTTAGAGTTAATGTCAATAAAAGCGCTATCAAACTGTTGTTACAAAACGGTGCTGATGTGAACAAGGCTGGCGTGGAGGGCATGACAGCACTTCACTATCTGTGTGATGGAGATGATGTCAATGAAAGCGCTATCAAACTGTTGTTACAAAATGGTGCTGATGTCAACAAGGCTGGCGTGGAGGGCAAGAGAGCACTTCACCGTCTCTGTGTTAGGGATCATATCAATGAAAGCGCTATCAAATTGTTGTTACAAAACGGTGCTGATGTCAACAAGGTTGACGTGGAGGGCAAACAGCACTTCGCCGTCTGTGTACTAGGGATAATGTCAATGAAAGCGCCATCAAACTGTTGTTACAAAACGGAGGTGATGTCAACAAGCCTGGCGTGAAGAAGGGCTTTACAGCACTTCACCGTCTCTGTGTTAGAGATAATGTCAATGAAAGCGGTATCAAACTGTTGTTACAAAACGGTGCTGATGTCAACAAGGCTGGCGTGGAGGACATGACAGCACTTCACTATCTGTGTGATGGAGATGATGTCAATGAAAGCGCTATCAAATTGTTGTTACAAAACGGTGCTGATGTCAACAAGGCTGGCGTGGAGGACATGACAGCACTTCACTATCTGTGTGATGGAGATAATGTCAATGAAAGAGCTTTCAAACTGTTGTTAGAAAACGGTGCTGATGTCAACAAGGCTGACGAGGAGGGAAAAACAGCATTTCGCCGTCTGTGTGTTAGGGATAATGTCAATGAAGCGCTATCAAACTGTTGTTACAAAACGGTGCTGATGTCAAAAAGGCTGAGGTTGGGGGCATGACAGCACTTCACTATCTGTGTGCTAGGGATAATATCAATGAAAGCGCTATCAAACTGTTGTTACAAAACGGTGCTGATGTCAACAAGGCTGAGGTGGATGGCGTGACAGCACTTCACTATCTGTGTGCTAGGGATAATGTCAATGAAAGCGC